TATTAAAGATTAAACATACATAGCCAATGTTATCTTAGTTAAGATCATATAATGGGACAGGCTTCCAACTCTGCCTGTCAGGGCCAATCCAGACTCAAAGGGATAAAAACAACATCCCAATAGAAAGTCTGATTTATTCAGGAATCGAACTCCGGTCTCATACGTGCTACAGCGAAGCGCCTAACCGCGACACAACAGACGCTGGTTGGTAGTCTCTGAACAGTTAAACTTTCCCTGCTATGAAATACAGCCAACCCGGCTCTAACAGCAACCTACCAAAGACGATCAACCTTACAAACGACCACTTTCTACTTCTCACTTTAAAAAAAATACATGTATATATAATTACACTTACCAAAATATCTAAGACAACTGCTTTTCTTTTTGACTACGAATGATAACCTTTCACAGTATCGACTTCAGGTATAAGAGGTGGTTAGGTTTAATATGAACGAAACCACATTTTACTGATAAATTTAATCAACTCCTTACTCCTTTGTGACGTAGGGTTTGAGCCTTACAGAAAATTGTTGATATAATAAAGGAGGCTGATGGTCTAGGCGGTTGAGGAAATATTTGACTTCATACAGAGAGGGAGAAAGAGAGGGAGAGAGAGAGAGAGAGAGAGAGAGAGAGAGAGAGAGAGAGAGAGAGAGAGAGAGAGTGAGAAAGGGAGGGAGAGGGAGGGAGAGGGAGCAAGAAGGAAGGGAGAGGGAGAGAGAAAGAACCACTTGAAGATTGGATTTTCAGAGGAACACCTGTCTAAGCTGACCACCTTTCTACTCCACAATTAATTATTGTCTCGGACATTTTGGTCTGTAACATTACACTTACATATAACTGATTACAATAACCCGTGACCTTTGACCTGTCCAGACAAGCTCCCCACTGCCCTCTGGCGCCATGTGTGAGGATGGACGCCCCTACGTCACAGACCCCATCACCGGAAGACAGGTGTGTCTGTGTAACCTAGGAGTGGACACGCCCCCTTACGGACCCCCCAGGTCGGCGGCTGCCGGGGACGGACTCAAGCACGCGTCACTTCCGGCGGCTGCTGGGGTTGGCACCACGCCCCATCTCACCTTTGACCCTTCCGCTTTTTATCCTCCTCTGGTGAGTTGAGTCTGACTAACTGAATGTTAGGTTTTGGGTTGTTTTTTTCAATGGGATGTTTTAGTATCCAGTGTGGCGTAATGCAACACCGCCACCAACAAGATTTACAAGAACAATAACAACAAGACAAAAGATAACAACGCCAATAACAAAAACAACAACAAAGAATACATTAGTAATATTAATACAATCATCACCAATAATAACAACAACAACAACAACAACAACAACAACAACAACAACAACAAACAACAGCTACAGCAACAAAAACAATAAAAACAACCAAAACTAAAACTTAATTACCTGCATCTGTCTTTTCTCCCCCCAGGTACGAGGCCTCCCACTCCGACAAGACAGACTTCCACCTTACCTGACAGCGGGCATGCCAGGTCAACCTCCTGTGACCTTTGACCCTGTACTGGCGGCTCACCCATACGGACTGTTGTAAGTCAACACTAAATTTGTATTATACTTAATAGACTTGAAGTACAATATCCAAGAAAGTGCACTCTGATATAATTCCGGTTTATCATGAGGTGCATTTGAATCAATTTGGAATGAAATGAAGGACATAGAAGGTAAAGTTGTACGCGCACTTGACAATAACAAAACTGGCGTGTTTGCCGTTCTCATTTTGCCTCATCTCATATCGTCGTCCTGACCCTCCTTCGACCCTTATATAACTTAACTGTACTACAAGTGCCGTAATACTCTAACTAAAATTAAAACTAACCTTTCTCCGGCACTTATACGGCCTTACGTGTGTTGCAAATGCTGTAAAACTCTTACTAAAACTAAAAACTGATCTTTCCCCGGCACGTATATAATATAACCTTGGATGTATTTCAAGTGCCGTAAAACTCTTACTTAAACAAAAAGTGATCTTTCCCCGGCACTTATATAGCCGTAGATGTATTTCAAGTGCCGTAAAACTCTCCCCAAAACACAAAAACTGACCTCTCCCCCCCCTCCCCCTCCCCAGGTACGCGGGCATGGACATGGCGGGGAACCCGATGCGGAAAGCCGCCACAAGGGAGACCACGGGACCCCTCAAGGCCTGGCTGAGTGAGCACAAGAAAAACCCCTACCCGACCAAAGCCGAGAAGATCATGCTGGCCATTATCACACGGATGACGCTCACACAGGTAATACGACAGCAACAACAATAACAACAACAACAACAACAGCAAGGAAAACAACAGCAGCAATAACAGTTACAACAACAACAACAACAACAACAACAACAACAACAACAACGTCTAAGGAGACAACAACAACACCACCTGCAGCACCACCACCTTATCATCATCATCATCATCATCATCATCATCATCATCATCATCATCATCATCATCATCAACATCATCATCATCATGTTTCAATTAGAATAAAAACAATATCAAGAGGAATATAAGACGATGACATTTGCTTGGTTCTGTAAAAACTGTGAGTGCGTGTGTGTGTGTGTGTGTGTGTGTGTGTGTGTGTGTGTGTGTGTGTGTGTGTGTGTGTGTGTGTGTGTGTGCGCGCGCGCGCGTGCGCTCGCGGGTACAATAAAATGCGTTATATTGAAACGGAAGAATTAAAAGAAAACATATTAACATTGTAGAAATAAATGATTTGTAAGATAAATAACAATAATAATATGATATATATATAATACTTACAATACTCGAAAAATGGTAACTATAATGAACGTTATCATGTCTGTTGACCAGGTGAGCACATGGTTCGCCAATGCTCGACGCCGGCTGAAGAAAGAGAACAAGCTGTTTCCAGGAGACAGAGACGACAAAGATGACGATGACGAAGACGATGAGGCTCACAGAAGGGAGGATGGGGAGTCGGTGCATGAAGGGAACTCCATCAATACTTCAGGTTTGTAAAAACACCAATTGAATGGTACAAGTAAATATCAAGATAAGTCTACTTTTTAAAGAATTATCAGCAGCACCTGTAAAGTATATCTGCGAAATCAATCAAATAGATAAAAAAATTAAGTCATTCAGAAACTGTCATTTTATAACATTGAATCAAATGAAGAACACCCTTATTCCCTCATAAGAAAGTTAAAAATAATCTATGTCCTGTTTTTTACTTGACCCTTTCGCATGTTACCATACTTTGGACGCCTTGGTTTGATTTTTTTTAGCTGTTCTCATTTTTTCCTCTGGTACGTTTTAATCTAATCCTACTAGTTTACTTTTAGGAGAATAATCATAGATAGATAGATAGATAGATAGATAGATAGATAGATAGATAGATAGATAGATATACCAAAAACAATATGATATGATTTACAAATGGTATGGTATGTTTACTTTCACAGGTCCCCACAAACCAGCCCCCTTAGACAGCGACAGTGAAGACATCAACGTGGACTCCTCCGACAACTCGGACGACGAAGACCACCCCAACTCCTCCCACCACAGACACATCACAGACGCCAAGTCCCCTCACCTCCTCTCCCAGGACAAACACACGTCGTCTCTCTCAGACTTCTCCTTCCAGTCTCTGTCCGCGGAACAGCGAGGACTTCTGAGGCACCACGCTCTCGACTTCAGCCAGAGCTCTCTACAGAGAAAAACAGATGGGAACGTTTACAAATTAACGGGTGACAACTGCAAAGATGATGACGTCATATCAGGGTCAAGGCATAACCACAAACAAGGAGACATAAACAATGCGTCTTCCACTCTCGATTCAAATTCACCTTTGAAAAAATCAAATTCTTTATCATCGAAGCCCAAAATCTGGTCAATTTCTGAAATCATCAGTAGCCCTTCATCGTCTACGTCCAAAAATTCTGAAGCGCATCAAAAGGATTTAGATTCTACCAGAGAGTATTGTAACTACACCCCGCCCCTACCGCAAACTCAATCAAAGATGAAACTTCCATCCTCAAAGACGTCACATACCCCACCGACTTCTCCCGGATCTGAGGAAAGATCCTCCCATCAGTTCTCGCCCGGCGCCGACAACAACTATTTGTCCACCTTGATATATGCACACGCACCAACACAACACCCAGCGCACTCTTCATTCAAACACTACACAGTCGGTTCTATGCCAGACTTGAGGCATTCAATGTCGAACCACACCGTCAGACATTCGGAACTTTCTCTGTCTCCAGCCCGTTGGGGTTCCAGTGAGCTGAGACCCGAAAACTCTCTCGTCCGACAAAGGAGACTCCTACAACAAAGCAGCTCTCCCATAGCACCTTGTCCCCAAAAGACTCACGAAACCGTCAGAGGCTGGATGGCTAAAAATGAGGATTACATCATTCGCTGCCGGAATGCTTTATCGCTCGACTCCGCGAAGCCGCCGTCGAGCACAAGCGGCTCAATGGAGCACCATTCCCAGCATCCCCACTCCGACGTCACTTCTTCTCCGCGAAGAAAATCTGTGGGAGAAAGTTTTTCATCACCGGTGTGTGGCTCAGAGTTTGGGAAACACCCTTTACAAATTCCAGGAAGTTCTAACACAAGCACTCCCTCTTCTTACATGGACAAAGGTCATAGTTCATCCCGCACAAAGAGCGTGATATCATCTCCAGTAAGTCCGACAACCCTTGTGAAAACATCTACATTGACCGGAGTTCCGTGTTCTGAGCCTAGCAGGAACATGTCTATGACGCCAGAGGACAATCACATACCAACAAAAAGGGGTAAACTGACCGCACCGGGACCTGAAAGGTCTGAGGTTTTGTCTCCACACAGACGGGAGAATGGAACTTTCAACAGTAATACTTCAGACCAAGATTCGAACGATGGAATATCGGGTACGGATAATATGATGTCCTGTAGCTGATTGGAACAGGGTAGTTAACGAAGCTTAAATTTTCGTTGCGCATTGTGCGTAAGATGAGAGACTCATTTGATGTAGAAGTAGAAGTGTGCATGACCAAATATAGGCTGTTCCCATGGAATACTGCATGTCTTTGTTTGTGTACATTTGTATATGTGAGTGTGTGGATGTGTGTGAGATAGATAGATAGATAGATAGATAGATAGATAGATAGATAGATAGATAGATAGA